GGAAGGGCGGCGCCGGGGCCGCAGGGGTAGGCGACGGGGCCGCGAGGGCGGCTAGGAGGGGGGGGGGTCGCGAGGGCGGCTTGAAGAGGCCGCGAGGGCGGCTAGAAAGGGCCGCGAGGGCGGCGTGAAAGGGCCGCGAGGGCGGCGTGAAAGGGCCGCGAGGGCGGCGCGACACGAAGGAGCCGCGAGGGCGGCGGATCGGGGCCGCGAGGGCGGCGCGACGCGGCCGCTAGGGCGGCGCGACGTGAAGGGGCCGCGAGGGCGACGCGATGGGGCCGCAAGCGCGACGCGACGGGGCCGCTAAGGCGGCGCGACAGGGTCAAGAGAGGGGAGCGCGACTCGGGCAGTGGAGAGCGCGCTCCGGGCAGGAAAAAAAAATGTGGTGGGCCCTAGGAACAGTTCCCACAGGGGAACCTGCTCGATACCATGAGAAACTGAACGAGAATGAATTGACTAAGGGAAAGTTGGGTACAAAATGCAAACCCTAGAAAACTGTACCCCATATGTGCTACCCCACTATAGCCTACAGTAGCTATGTCATATAAATCTGACACCACGGTGTTTCCTCTCGCGAAGAAGTCCGAGGTGACTTCTACGCTGATCCGGTGGCTTCTAGCCACTGAGGGCACTCGTGGCCGTCGTGTCTCCTGTCTCCACTCTGGCCGTGGGAGTGAGTTTTGCTCAGGCATTCTTGCCGGATTCTGCGGCGAGCAGAGCATCGTACAGTCCTGGACGCTGCCGGAGTCCTCACGGCAGAATGGGGTTGCTGAGCGCCGCATTGGCTTGGTCATGGACATCGCCCGCACGTCCATGATTCATGCCCGTGCGCCCCATTTTCTGTGGCCCTATGCGGTTCGCTACGCCGCTCACCAGCTGAATCTCCAGCCGCGTGTCTCGCGGCCAGAGGCTTCACCGACCAGTCTTTGGACCGGGTCCCCTGGTGTTGGGTCAACTTTTCGTGTCTGGGGCTGCCTTGAGCTTGTCCGCGACACCTCTTCGGACAAGCTCTCGGCTCGCGCTGTCCCCTGTGTCTTCCTTGGTTTCCCGGTAGCTTCGGCCGACTGGTCCTTTTACCACCCGCCCCTCCACCAGTTCCTAGACTCCCGTGACGTCCGGTTCGACGAGTCAGTGTCCTACTACACCCGGTACCCCTGTCGAGGTCTCCCGGTTCCCCCTCCCCCCCTTTTCCTCGCACCCTCTCTTCCCCCTGCTCCCGCTCCTCCGGTACCCCCACCACCCCCTGGTCCTGCCCCGCACGCTACCCCTCTACCCTCGGTCGCGCGTCAGGTAGCGGCTCCCTCCCCGCAGTCCTCCTCACAGTCCCCTCAGCAGCCTTCGGTACTTCCGCGACAGGCTACTATGGACTCGGTTGGTTTTGGAGCTGGAGGTGCAGCCACTGGCGGTACTCGGTCCGGGGGAGCTCGTTTGAGGGGTGCTGGAGTTGGAGGTGCTGGCGCAGGTGGCGCCAGCCCTGGGGGTGCTGGAGCTGGAGGTCCTGGCACTGGAGGTGCTAGTCCTGGGGGTGCTGGAGCTGGAGGTGCTGGCGCAGGTGGCACTAGCTCTGGGGGTGCTGGAGTTGGAGGTGCTGGCACTGGAGGTACTAGTTCTGGGGGTGCTGGAGCTGGAGGTGCTGGCACAGGAGGTGCTGGTTCTAGGGGTGCTGGTCCTGGAGGTGCTGGTTCTGGAGGTGCTGGTGCTGGAGGCGCTGGCACTGGAGGTGCTGGTTCTGAGGAGACTGGAGCTGGAGACACTGGTTCTGCGGAGTCCACTCCGCCTCCCCACCGCCACGACACACGTCTCCAGGCGGCCCGTCGGCGTGAGCGTGAGGAGCAGGTGCTGTTGAAGAGGGAGCGGCAGGAGTTGCGGCAGTTGGACCTGCTGGAGCAGCAGCAGCAGCAGCAGCAGCAGCAGCAGCAGCAGCAGCAGCAGCAGCAGCAGCAGCAGCAGCAGCAGCAGCAGCAGCAGCCGCAACAGCAGCAGACACCGCCGCCGCAGCTGCGACCACAGCAGCTCCCTCTGGAGCGGCAGTTGTTCCCACCCGTGAGTGGCCTTCGGGCCCTTGGTCTTCCCTCCTCTCCTCCTGTTCACACTCCGTCCCCTCCAGCGTTTGGTCCCACGTTTCCTCCTCCTGACGCCAGTCCGGCGGTCTGGTCTTCTCCTCCACCGCAGTCTCCTCCACCTGGTGTCCCGCACTCTCGTGTCCGTCCCTGTCCTCCGCGTGCTCGTCACTCGTCTCCCGTTACCGACCTCCGCACTGCCCTCCTTTGTTCGTCTCTTCGTCGTCCTCCTCCTGAGTCCGTTCTCCTGTCTCCGCCTCCGTCCTCTCTCCCTTTCCCCCCTACTCCTATCACTGACTACTACCGCGATGTTCGTCCTGTTGTCTCTCGTGTCCTCGCCACTCTTGTCACCGACTCTCGTTTCCCTCCGTCGTCTGTCTCGGCTCTCACTGCCGCTGTCGCTGAGTTTGCTGCCACCAGTCGCCTTGACTACACCACCCGTGTGGTGCCAGCTCCTCCCTCCCGGGGGTGGGTTTGCCCTTGGCTGTGACGTCCTAGAGGACAGAGAGTCTGAGCTGGAGTACTGGGCAGCCGCTTCTCCCTCTGTCTGTGCCATGCTGCTATCCCCTGAGGGAGACCCCGACGCCCTTGACATACCGACTCCTCGCACTTACCGCAAGGCAGTGTCAGGGGCGTGGGCCTCACAGTGGAAAGCGGCTATGGCCTCGGAGTTAGCGTCTTGGAGATCCACAGGCACCTACGTCGACGCAGTTCCCCCTCCCAGGGCGAACGTAGTCGATGGCATGTGGCTCTTCAAGGTGAAGCGGCCGCCTGGTTCACCGCCTGTGTTCAAGGCGCGCTACGTGGCTAGGGGTTTCAGTCAGCGTGAGGGAGTTGACTTCTTCCAGACCTTCGCCCCGACCCCGAAGATGACTACTCTTCGGGTGTTACTGCACGTAGCAGCACAGCGAGACTACGAGCTGCACTCCCTTGACTTCTCTACTGCGTTTCTCCAGGGCCGGCTACACGAGGAGATCTGGCTGCGCCGCCCTCCTGGCTTCACTGACACCTTCCCACCTGGGACCCAGTGGAGCCTGAGACGGCCAGTCTACGGTCTCCGCCAGTCGCCCCGTGAGTGGCACGACACTCTTCGCTCCACGCTTCGTAACCTTGGGTTTTGTCCTTCCTCTGCCGACCCGTCGTTGTTTGTTCGCACTGGTTCCACTCCTTTCTTTATACTAGTGTACGTCGACGACTTGGTCTTTGCCACAGCAGACAGGGCAGCTCTGGCTCAGGTGAAGTCCGAACTGCAGAAGAGACACATGTGCACTGACCTAGGTGAACTGAAGCGCTACCTTGGCCTGCAGATCACCAGGGACAGAGCCGCTCGCACCATCACACTGACTCAGTCACACATGGTGCAGCAGGTCCTTCGGCGGTTCGACTTCCAGTTCTCCACCACACAGCCCACACCTCTTGCTGTTGACCACAGACTCACTGGCCCCTTTCCCGACGAGCCCTTTGAGTCCAGTGGTCCCTACGCAGAGCTGGTGGGCTGCCTCATGTACCTGATGACTTGTACTCGGCCGGACCTCGCCTTTCCCCTCAGCATACTTTCTCGCTTTGTTGCGACTGGGAGACACCGTCCTGTCCACTGGACAGCTGCTGTGAGGGTGGCGAAGTACCTGGCGACTACATCAGGCATGGGGCTTGTGCTTGGAGGGACTCAGCCAGTGGCTTTGACTGGTCACTGCGACTCTTCCTACGCTGACGACGTGGAGACTCAGCGCTCGACTCAGGGTTACTGCTTCAGTCTGGGAGCTGGTGCTGTGTCGTGGAGGTCTACACGGTCGTCGTCTGTGGCTACTTCCAGTGCGGAGGCAGAGATCTACGCTGGTGCCATGGCGGCACAGGAGCTTCGCTGGTTGACCTTCTTGCTCGCCGACCTTGGTGAGCGGCCTCGCTCTGCACCGACCTTGTACGCTGACAACAAGGCCATGATCCTCCTGTGTCGAAAACCTCGACTGGAGAGCAGAGTGAAGCATATTGACGTGAGGTACTTCCTCCTGCGAGAGCTGCAGCGACGCGGCCAGGCACGCCTGGACTTTGTGGCCTCAGAGGCCAACACTGCAGACGTCTTCACCAAGGCTCTGGCGCTTGGTGACCACCACAGGTTCTGTGTGCAGTTGGGGCTTGTTGAGGTAGGCCCTCGGTTGCTGTAGACTTGTTACTTGCTCTGCTTGTTGTGTTTTCCTATATATATCATAGTGAACTCTTGAACTGGCCTTGTGGCCGCTTGCTTGTGCTCGGAATTTGTGTGGTATCCTTGAGATCCACCCTGAGCTTGCCTTGCTTCTTTTGACTGGTCTTGTGACCGTTTGTTCACCCTGCTTGCTTTGATGCCCCTCACTTAACCTATGGGGGTGTGTCAAATGTTGAACATTGTTATAATAGGCTGTAGTGAGTAGCACTGTAGAGAGTACAACACTTTCTAGGTTTGCTATTTGTATCACTCCCTATCCTAGTTGATGCATTCCGTTGTTCGCTAACTTTGAGACTCCCATAACCATGTTTGACACACCTTCTTCACTTGCCCAAATCGATCCCGAAACCTTGCACCGGAATGTTTACCATATGCGTTGCAATCCCCCGAGGGTTTGCAAGGTGATTCGCAGCGGAAGTGAATAATGACTCCTCTCAAAGTGAATGTAAAATGATAGAAGTGACTATAAGAATACAACAGAATACAAAACCACCTAGCAATGTACTCCAAGGGGAAACCTGAACAGCATGGAAACCCGTTCATGTCTTTTTTCTTTCAAATGCGTCTGCGTGCACCATTCTTGTTCTGAGAACCGTCTTATGGTACAGTAGTTGCTTCGGTTCATCTCGGTCTTCATCCTTAGTAGTGCTTGCTCATGTTACGCACATGAATGCAAATGCTCAATTCCTCATCATAACAACATGCTCGTTCCACCACCCACTAGGGCTGCCAGCCTACCACTAATTCTCTTCTGCTGCCCTGGACCCTACGCTGAAGCACCAGCAGCACCACACTGCACTGCTCCCAACAATAAGAGTCACACCTTATATACTGCAATTGGCATATTAACTATATGCCCATGCTTATCCACCAATCTAACCGACCCAAAAAAAATCCCACTCACAGCATCCTTCTTCGCCTTGAAAACCATCTTGATTCGCTGCACCTCTCCCGGACCAATGGTAAACTTGCGTGGCGACACCCGAACCTTCACGCCCGACGGCGCCCGAACCTTCACAGTGTACGTCGACGGCCGGTTAAACACGTCCGAACCGTGCGCACAATCTTCTTCCTGCGGGACAGCTGTGCGATCGAGATCGTTGGACGGTTGAGATTCCACGGCTCGAGCGCCCGAATCCCCTTCAGCCCGGGAAACACCCGCTTCGTCTGCTCAAAATCCCGAGCCGCAAGGAGATTCACATAATCGTTAAACCCAGAGTTCAAAGTCAACCCGGGGTTTAGAATCCTTGACGGGTTGACGTGCCCCGCGCCGTAATCCCACGGGGTGGCGACGTCCCCATCCCATCGTTTGATTGGCTGGCCGGCATTGTTTACTGTAGATGCTGTAGTCATCATTGCAGACATCACCTGGGCGGGCGTCCAGCCTGGATTCTTCTGGATTACTAATGCGGCGATTCCGGCGAGATGTGGTGCAGCCATGGATGTACCCGACTCGCTTTTGAACATAGGAGGGTCGGTGGCTGCCGTAGCTGCGCTCTTGCCCCGGTCCGCCGACCAGAGCTCGAACCCCGGACCTACTATGTCTGGCTTTAAAATGTCATTTGTTGGGCGGTCGGATGGGACTGGGAACCAGGATGGGTCTACGGTTGGTCCGGTGGCTGAGATCTTAGTCATTTGGGGAGCATTGGAGGAATTTGTGGTGATGACTTCGCTAAGTGTCGCCACGGGATTGGCCGTCTGCTGCAGGTAATTGTTCAGCTGCCCGGCCTGGGCGGTGGTGAGGAACAGGACGGGCAGGTCGGTGAAAGGGAGCATGGGTATGCTGTCTGTACTATGGGGAGAGCCAGTGAGGACTAGCGCTGCTGCCTTGGAAGCAGCAAGGAAGCTGATGGGGACTCCTACTGCTGATGCTTGGAACGTGCACACGATAATTTTCCCAGCCAATTTGCTTTGATCGATTGCAGTGAAGTCACACACAGCAGCCTGTGGGATCATTAGAGGGGGAAGGGGGAACAATAAAAACAGGTGGAGGGCAAAAGGGAGGATGGTTGGAATGTGTATACAATGATTCGACCTGCCAGCTTGCTTCGGTCGATAGCAGTGATGTCACACAGAGCGGCCATGAGAGGGGGATATGAAAGAGGCGCATGGCAAAGAGAGATGGTTGGTATGGACATACGAGTGACCCACGATCTTGGTTTGGTTGATGGTTGTGATGCGGAAAAGTATACAGGATCGTAAAGAGACATGTAATCAGGACACATGGTAAGGACACCTGAGGACACGTGATTAGGGCACGTGATAAGGACACGTGATAAGGGCACGTGATAAGGACACGTGATAAGGGCTCGTGATAAGGACTCGTGAAAGGGCATGTGATAAGGGCACATGATAAGGACACGTGATCAGGGCACGTGATAAGGGCACATCATAAGGACACGTGATAAGGGCACGTGATGAGGACACGTGATCAGGGCACGTGATATAAACCCCTGAGCGTTTACGAAATTGTGATAAAGGCTTGTGGTAGGGAGCATGAGACTCACATTAGCGGCAGAGGCGCCAAACTTGGCAGCAGCAGCAGCAGCAGCAGCAGCGGGCAGCAGCTTGGAAACGGGCAGCAGCACTTTATTGACCGTCTGTGCCGTGCCTCCAGAGCTCACTCCCCTCAGCTCCACCCCGTTCCCCAGAGTCAGCTTTGCCAAGTTCTGCCGACTGATGGTGCTGTGGGGGGGGAGGGGAGGCGAGGAAGATGGAAGGGGAGAGGACGGAGGGAGGGAGCGAGATGAGGAAAGGGAGTTACTGATGGTGTGCCCCCCTGCGTGCCCCAGGATCAGCTTTGCCAGGAACTGCCGACTGATGGTGATGTGGCTGATACAGGCGGGGAAGAAGGGGAAAGAGGGATATGAGGGGGAAGGATTATGATTGGGGTGCGTTTGTATCTCCCCCTTTCCTGCGCTCCATCCCAGTTTTGAGACGTCTCAAAACCAGATTCTCGACTGGCTCTGTGCGTTGCGCGTTTGTATCCGCCCCTTTCCTGCGCTCCATCCCATCCCCCAAGTCATGGAAGGTGTATCTTCCTTCCACCACACCAATGATATCACTTTTGAGAACTTTCGAGACGTCTCAAAAATCGCACACTGTTGGAATCACTTTTGAGAATTATCAAAGGTGATTACAGAAGAGACCTCAACTTTTTTTTTTTTTCAAAGGTGCATCTCACCCCCCAAGCCATGGTGCATCTCACTCTCTCCCATGAGCTCCCATCTCATCCCCCAAGTCATGGAAGGTGTAACTTCCTTCCACCACACCGTTTCCCCATCTCACGAAGAGTCTTCACACCTCTTCCTTTGAAAAAAAAATCTCTCGCAACTTACATTGCCCCCACTGTCACCTTCTCACCAAATGTTTTCTCCAACTTACGTTGCTCCCTCCCACTGTCAGGTACCAAGGAGCTGCGCTGCTGAGCGTACCCAGCACACAAGTTATTACTCTCAGCACACTTAGCACACCTTCTCACCAAGTGTTTTCTCTCAACTTACGTTGCTCCCACTGTCAGGTACCAAGGAGCGGCGCTGCTGAGCGTACCCAGCACACAAGTTATTACTCTCAGCACACTTAGCACAACTTCTCACCAAGTGTTTTCTCTCAACTTACGTTGCTCCCACTGTCAGGTACCAAGGAGCGGCGCTGCTGAGCGTACCCAGCACACAAGTTATTACTCTCAGCACACTTAGCACACCTTCTCACCAAGTGTTTTCTCTCAACTTACGTTGCTCCCACTGTCAGGTACCAAGGAGCAGCGTTTACAACCGTCCCCCCGTTGCCTGCTGACATCGTCACAAACACACCCGCCTGCAGAAATCATGGGGAGTGAGTGAGGAGGGGTTGAGGAGAGGGCGGGGAGACGAATGGAGGGGAGGATCAGGATTCCTCTCGAGTTAGCCTGCTGCCAGGGCAACGAGGTGACTTTTGAGGTCTACTGGGAACAGACTCTCCCAGGGAAAGAGAGAGCACGTCCACGCCACACCATCCGCCACAGCAGCATACCTTAGCCTCACAGCAGCATACCTTAGCCTCCAGCCTCACCTTAGCCTCTCCAAAGCCTCACCTTAACCGCATACCTTGGGATCCAAACAGCAGCATACCTTGGGATCCACGCAGCAACAAACCTCACCTTAGCCTCTCCAAAGCCTCACCTTAGCCGCATTCAAGGAGGGAATCTCTATAAAATAGTCGGACACCGGATTCCTCCCCAAAGAAAGAGAGAGCACATCCACACCGTCCGCCACAGCAGCATCAACGGCGGCTTGAATGTCGGAGAGGTAGCCTTCGTACATCCACAGCGCCTTGTACATGGCGATGCGCGCACGCGGCGCCATGCCGCTCACTGCCCCGTAGCTTTGACCGTTCACCTCCACACTCACGTTGGCGTTACCAGCAGCGGCTCTGTTGGGTTGAGAGGGGTGGAGAGGGATGAGATGAGATGATGGGTTCCTTGACAGCTCACCTCCACACTCACGTTGGCGTTACCAGCAGCGGCTCTGTTGGGCTTAGAGGGGTGGAGAGGGATGAGCTCATGGGGTCCTTGACAGCTCATCTCCACTCTCACGTTGGCGTTACCTGCTGCCACCCTGATGTTATTTGAAAGGGGAGGGGAGGAATGGTGGGGAAATATGGTGGTGAGAGCGAGAGCGCATTGCAGATGGCATTGATTGCCCAAGATGCCATGCCACTAGCTTCCCTGGTTAGGGGGAATGGGGAGAGGACACAAGGGAGTGTGCACAGGTGAGGACCATTGCGCCTGGTACATGGCCATGCGTGAGACACCCAGAGCCATCTGTCCGCCATGCGCCACAGCGCTTTGTACATGGCCATGCATGCACACGGCGCCATGCCACTCACTGTGCCAAAGTTGCGGCCGCCCATCTCCACACTCACATTGGCGTTACCTGCTGCCGCCCTGTGTAGAAGAAAATTGTGAGGGGGGGGGGGGGGGGTGGGGAGAGGGGGAGGAGAAAGGAGGGTGAGTCTGCGAGCCCCTTGTACATGGCGATGCGGGCGTGCGCGGCGCCACGCCGCTCGCAGAGCTACAGTCGCGCCCGCCCATCTCCAAGCTAATGTTTGCATTGCCTGCTGCCGCTCTGATGGGTTGGGAGGGGTGGAGAGGAATTGAACAAGGGGCCTTCGAAGGCACCTCAAAGCCGCTGTCCATGGCCCAGAGCGACGTGTATGAAGATTTATTTTGAGACGTCTCAAAACATCTCCACACTCACGTTGGCGTTGCCCGCCCCGCTGCTGTGCAGTTGAGTTGGGATGGGTGGAGGGAGATGTGAGACGGTAGATTAAAGCTCCACACGCACGTTGCCGTTGCTCGCTGGCGCACTGATGATGTTCGAGGAAGTAAGGTGTGAAGAAAGAGGGGGAGTAAGGTGTGAAGAAAGAGGGGGAGTAAGGTGTGAAGAAAGAGGGGGAGTAAGGTGTGAAGAAAGAGGGGGAGTAAGGTGTGAAGAAAGAGGGGGAGTAAGGTGTGAAGAAAGAGGGGGAGTAAGGTGTGAAGAAAGAGGGGGAGTAAGGTGTGAAGAAAGAGGGGGAGTAAGGTGTGAAGAAAGAGGGGGAGTAAGGTGTGAAGAAAGAGGGGGAGTAAGGTGTGAAGAAAGAGGGGGAGTAAGGTGTGAAGAAAGAGGGGGAGTAAGGTGTGAAGAAAGAGGGGGAGTAAGGTGTGAAGAAAGAGGGGGAGTAAGGTGTGAAGAAAGAGGGGGAGTAAGGTGTGAAGAAAGAGGGGGAGTAAGGTGTGAAGAAAGAGGGGGAGTAAGGTGTGAAGAAAGAGGGGGAGTAAGGTGTGAAGAAAGAGGGGGAGTAAGGTGTGAAGAAAGAGGGGGAGTAAGGTGTGAAGAAAGAGGGGGAGTAAGGTGTGAAGAAAGAGGGGGAGTAAGGTGTGAAGAAAGAGGGGGAGTAAGGTGTGAAGAAAGAGGGGGAGTAAGGTGTGAAGAAAGAGGGGGAGTAAGGTGTGAAGAAAGAGGGGGAGTAAGGTGTGAAGAAAGAGGGGGAGTAAGGTGTGAAGAAAGAGGGGGAGTAAGGTGTGAAGAAAGAGGGGGAGTAAGGTGTGAAGAAAGAGGGGGAGTATGGAGGAAGTGCAGATAGAGCATAGGAGGACTGAGTGTACTTGCACAAAAGGAGAACAGTGGGTACAAGAGTTTAGGAGGATAGAGCGTTTAATAGACACTACTGTGTAATAAGCACACTCAACCCGCACACCACTCACCCCGCACAACACTCACCCTGCACACCACATGCCGTGCCCGATTCCATCCCGGGCAGACAAAAAGTCGGCTGAATCCACGGTCCTCCCGGCCTGGAGAAACCCGCTGTTGAAGAACTTTGCGCCGATGAGCTTGCCGTTGCAGAGCGAGGATGGGAAATCCGCCGTTGCTTCACACCCGCCGAACCAGCGGTCCGGAACCGGGCCGTAGGGGTCTGCAGGCTGGGGAAGAGCACAAGGGGAAACGAAGTCGGAGAAAGGGGAGAGAGAAGGGAGAGGGGACGGGGAAGGAAAGGGGATGGGGAATGAAAAGAGGAGGGGGAAGGCGGGAAGGCGTGAGGGAGAATGGCAAGGGGATGGGGAGATAATGGGGGTTGAAGAAGTTGGCGCCGATGAGCTTGCCGTTGCAGAGCCAGGCTGGGAAATTCGCCATTGCTGCACACCTGCCAATCCAGCGTCCGGACTGGGAAAGGGAATTGGGAAAGGGACGCACGGAAAGGAGGGTGGTGTGGGTGAAGGAGAGGCAGGAGGGAAGGAGGTGGTTGTAGGCGAGCGGGAAAAGGACGAGAAGAAGATGCTGCAACCTTTCATTGCTATTAATAATTATATTGCTTACCGTGTTTGCAAAAGAAGGGTGTTCCGGCCAGATTCCCGTATCCACCACGCCTATAATCACATCTTCGCCCGCACGGCTCTGCCCCCCGTTTGAAGCCCACAGGCTGGTCGGCAACTTCAAGAAAGTTGGCGAGTCTACAGTGAGCGCGCGAAACTGCCCCAGCAAAACAAAACCAAGAGTTAGTATTGGAAACTACAGAGCATTAGATTGGACACGATAAACAAAATCAAGAGTTAGTATTGGACACGATAAAGCGAAAGAAAATATGCTGACAGCAAAGGATAGAATATGTGGCAGCTATAAGAGCAGTGAGCTTCCCCCACAGGCTTCGCTTCCCCCTCTCGCCCGCTTTCCTCCCCTTCCCCGCTCTCTTTCCTTCTTCCCCGCTTCCCCCCCTTAAGGATCCTTTCCTCAGCTAGTACTCCCAGCCAATCGCTTCACTCACTTGTCCCTCTTCTTATCACTCACCAGTTTGTCTTCTTCGATCCTCGCCACGGCAGGATGGTGCTTCAGCCGTTTCGCTTCCGCGTTCGTCAGCGATACAGCGAACCCGTTAACCGTGTACGTGTAGCTCTGGAACAGCTGCGACGGCGAGATGTCATTCTTTCGCAAAAACTGCTGCTGCGAATCTCGCAGAAAGTTGACGAAAGATTTCACGTTCGCCCGCCGCACGTCCGCGCGCCACTTGATTCGATCCGCAAGCCGCCTTATCGCTTTCCAAGGAGCCTCGAAACTCGATGATTTTGTGATTGCAGCGAAGCGAGGAGGCTCTGCGGATGTGCCACTAACGGTGGCGAGTCGGGCCGCACTGAGCCCTTGAAGCGTCGCTGCTGCAAGCGTGGCATTTGTACCACCGCTGCTGTCGCCAGCTGTAGAATCGTCGGTTGAACCGCCACCCGAACCGCCACCTGGAGCATAAACCGGAGCGCTATCATCGTCGTCGTCGGCGTCGGTGGGGCTGCTCTCAGGGTCGTTGTCGTCTAGCTCCGGCGCGGTCGCCGCCAGCCCCGCCAAGCCGCCGCGGTAGTTGAGCACCGGCGGCACCGCCGCCAGGTGCACTATGTACTGCTTGCGTAGGGGCTCCGCGGCTTTCGCGCGCGTAGCTGTGGAGAGGGAGGTGGGGAAGGTGGGAGTGAGGGAGGGGGAGCGGGGGTTAAGCGGAGTGGAAGCGGAACGGTCGCCAGGTGCACTATGCACCCTTGCGCAGGCGCCTCGGCTTGGAGCGCACAGCTGGAAGGGTTGGGTTGGAGGGGAAGGGGCGGCAGTGAGTATGCAACGTCTATTGCGTGATTCAAACTGGCGCATACTAGTAGTATTACTAGGAAGTAAACATCTCCTTAGCACAACCGCCACGATGCCAGTAGTAGTAATAGCCACCCAATCCCGTACCCTGCGACGTCGGGAGTCCTGCGACGATTGCCACCAAGCAGACGACGGCCAACCATCTCAACACCATCGTCACCGACCGTTTCAGAAGAGCAAGGATGTGTCAACCTTTCTACGAGTCGACACCTTCTCAGTAATACAACTCTACCCTGGACCCGAAATGAAGAAGTATCGATACTTTACGATCGTAGAGCAAAGGCAGAGAGTAGGGACCCTCTGAACGGGAGCGCTCCGTCTGAGAGAAATTGAAGGTCCGGAACTCTGAGTGTAGAGGATGAGGTCGCAGTACCTTCCCATCATACCCGAAACCTCAACAGCCATCGACTGTAGCTGCTGCTGCGACGGCGGCTCGGAAAGCGCAGATGTGATGAAGATGGGTCCAAGATTGCGCCGAGTCGGTTAATACGCTACAACCTGTCGGTGCCATATCGAATGGACGAAATCGACTCTGGTGTAGCTGAAAAATGCTCTTGGGAACTCCACCACAGCTTGCACAAGCCGTGGAATGCACCTGAGCGGTGGCATGGTGGTGAAGGATTTCTTTGTGAAGAAATGGCCTGCTGTGCGGTTCGAGCCGACATTTGGGAAGGGGGTTCCGCATGTGACGGAAGGGGGGAAAGGAAGGGATAGCTTAGTCTCGGTTTAGGGTAAACCTGGCCTGTAGCGCAAATATGATGAATGGGTCCGAATGCGCCGAGTCGGCGCTTCAACCTGTCGGTGTAACTGTATGGATGAAATCGACTGTAATTTTTGCTGTAGGTTTCGGCTGCAAGCTGTGGAAGTCACGGGGAGTACGCAGCAAGAGAGCGGGACGAGACCCGAAGCAAACCGTTTTACTGCTGGCCTATTGACAATGGCTACTACATATTACTACAAGCCGGTGGCAAGGTGGTGAAGACATTGTGAAGAATTGGCGTGCTGTGCGGTTCGAGCTGACATTTGGGAGAAAGGAGAGGCATGAGAAGGAAGAGGGGAAAGGAGGGGACAGCTTGGTCTGAACTGAAACCGTGTCCACACGATGCCCAAACCCTATCCGCACATTTGGTCTGCCAATCCCGAACGCCAACCCATCCAATCCCAATTACGTTTGGCACCAACCAGGCAGTTGCACGCGGTTTGGATCGAGTAGGTGAGTTCGTCAAAATCAAAACGCCTACCCATCCCGATTACATTTGGGCCCTGTTTTTTTTTACCTGGCGAACACCGCCAATTTGTCCAAAGGTCAGCAGTTGACGGATCGCGTCAGGTGTCATCCCACCTGCCGCAGCGGAAACCTGCAGCAAAAACCAGAGTCGATTTCATCCATACAAATACACCGACAAATCGGCGCATTTAGACCCATCTCATGATTTTCGCTATCCAAGCAGCCGCCGCAGCAGCAGCTACGGCTAAGTCGATGGTTATTTTTTAGTAGACTCAAAAGCCTACAGCTAAAAACGGAGTAGATTTCATCCACACAAATACACCGACAGGTTGTAGCTTATCGCCGACTCGGCGCATTCGGACCCGTCTTCATCATGTTTGTGCTTTCCCAACAGCCGTCGCAGCAGCAGCTACGGCCAGTCGATGGTTGTTTAGGTTTCGGCTTTGATGGGAAGATCCTGCGACCTCATTGCTCTACTCTGAGCGTTCCCGTTCAAAGGGTACCTACTCTGCCTTGCCAGGCAGTGCCAGTGGTTTACGATACAACTTCCGAATTTCGGTCCAATGTTTGTAAGAAGACGTCGACTTCTAAAAGGTTGGCATTCTTGCTCTTCTGAGGATCCCAGAGTCAGCTCCTTTTTGGAGCAAGGTCGACACGGCGATGACTCGCACTCGCACAGCGACGTGGGCGACCGGCGGCGTGCGACGGAACCTGTCGCCGACTAGGCGTGTCGCTAGTAGCGTTCCTGCGAAATGGTCGGCGACGATGGTGTTGAGTTGGCTGGCCGTCGTCTGCATGGTGGCATTCGTCGCAGGAGGACTCCCAACGTCGCAAGGTACGTGATTGGGGGGCTAACATACTACTGACATGGCGGTTGAGTCATGGAACAGACGAAATTGCCTTGTACCGTGCTTTCCTATAACACCTCGCTACCCACTGGGTCAAAACGAGGGTGTTATTTTGGCGCAGCGGAGTGCCCTAACACCCACATGCGTTACAACCTCCGTAAACTGGGATGGGCTCAAAATTTTCCACAGGCGTTACAACCTCCGTAATACAATTCCTGTATGAAAGTTGAAACTTCGCGTGTGGATCCAGAGGTAAGGTGTTCGATACTCGTCGAAAACCGTTCTGATTTTCGAGGCAGGCTTTTTTCCAACACTCTCTTCAATCTGTTCGTTTTAACGCACCCAGGAAGCATTGGCAAAAAACTACTTCAGGACATTTTATGGAGCTAGAAGGACATCATGTGGATACCCATCATATTCTTGGCTTGTGTCAGTTTAGGTGACGACTCGCAGCCGCTCTTGCCCCTCCAACCCTCCAGCTATGCGCCTGTACGCTCCAAAAGCCCATGCGCCTGTGCGCAAGGGAGCATGGCGACCGTTCCGCTCTCCGCTTCACCCCCGCTCCCCCTCCCTCACTCCCGACCTTCCCCACCCCCACAGCTACGCGCGCGAAAGCCGCGGAGCCCCTACGCAAGCAGTACATAGTGCACCTGGCGGCGGTGCCGCCGGTGCTCAACTACCGCGGCGGCGTGGCGGGGCTGGCGGCGACCGCGCCGGAGCTAGACGACAACGACCCCGAGAGCAGCCCCACTGACGCGGACGACGACGATGATAGCGCTCCGGTTGTTACTACTCCAGGTGGCGGTTCAACGGACGGTTCGGATGGCGGTTCAACGGACGGTTCGGGTGTCTCAGGTGGAAGTTCAGGCGACATCATTCCAGGGGGAGGTGCAGCAACCGGATTCGCAGGAGCGGATTCAGCGGGAGTTCCTTTCCCAACTGGCGGCGCTACCGCCGGTGACGCTACAGCTGGCGGCGCTACAACCGACGATTCTACACCTGGCGACAGCAGCGCTACAAATGTCACGCTTGCAGCAGCGACGCTGAAAGGGCTCAGCGCGGCCCGTCTCGCCACCGTTAGTGGCACATCCGCAGTGCCTCCCTGCTTCGCTCCTCAATCGAGTTTCGAGGCTCCTTGGAAAGCAATAAGGCGGCTTGCGGATCGAATCAAGCGGCGCGCGGACGTGCGGCGGGCGAACGTGAAATCTTTCGTCGACTTTCTGAGGGCTTCGCAGCGGCAGTTTTTGCGAAAGAATGACATCTCGCCATCGCAGCTGTTCCAGAGCTACACGTACACGGTTAACGGGTTCGCTGTATCGCTGACGGACGCGGAAGCGAAACGGCTGAAGCACCATCCTGCTGTGGCGAGGATCGAAGAAGACAAACTGGTGAGTGAGAGGAGAGGTAAGAGTGAGTGAAGCGATTAGCTAGGAGGAGATGAGGAAAGAAGGGAGAAAGCGGGGAAGAAGGGGAGAGAGCGGGGATGCAAATTAACATTGCTCTGTAGTTTCCAATTAAACTCTCTATTTTGTTTTTTTTCATTCTGGGCAGGTTCGCGCGCTCACTGTAGACTCGCCGACTTTCTTGAAGTTACCGACGAGCCTGTGGGCTGCAAACGCAGGGCAGAGCCGTGCGGGCGAGGATGTGATTATAGGCGTGATAGATTCGGGAATCTGGCCGGAACACCCTTCTTTTGCAAACACGGTGAGCAATATAAACGTTAATGGTTTTTTTTTTTTTTTTTTTTTTTTTTTTTTTGCAGCTTCATCTTCCTGTCCCTCTCCTGCTCCCCTCTACAACCACCTCTTTCCCTCCTACCCTTCCTTCACCCACACTGCCCTTCTTTTCGTGCATCTCCTTCACCCTTACCCCTTCCCCTCATGCATCATCCCCATTCCACCATTCCCCATGTTCACTTCCACAGCCTTCAGACCCCTACGGTCCGGTCCCGGACCGCTGGTTCGGCGGGTGTGCAGCAACGGCGGACTTCCCAGCCTCACTCTGCAACGGCAAGCTCATCGGCGCCAAATTCTTCAACAGTGGGTTCCTCAAGTCCGGGCAGGATGTGGATCCGAACGACTTTTCATCTGCCCGGGATGGAGACGGGCACGGCACGTGGTGTGCAGGGTGAGTGTGCTTATTGCACAGTGGTGTTTATCACACCTCTTATACTCTTAAACCCCCTGTTCACGTTTTCTGCAAGTACACGCAGTCCTCCTATCCTCTATAGGCACTTCCTCCTATCCTCTATATGCACTTCCTCCTGTCCTCCATACTCCCCCTCTTCCTTCGCGCCTTTTTCCCTCCAACATCATCAGTGCAGCAGCGACCAACACGAACGTGAGTGTGGAGCTTTAATCTACCGTCTCACGTCTCCCTCCACCCATCCCAACCCAACAGCGCAGCAGCAGGGAACGCCAACGTGAGTATGGAGATGAGCGGGAGAAGCTACGGGGCAGCGAGTGGCGTGGCGCCGCGGGCGCGCATCGCCATGTACAAGGCGCTGTGGTGGGTGAGGGCCCTCCGCGCGTGGGCCGGTGCCGACTCCGACATACGAGCCGCCGTTGATGCTGCTGTGGCGGACGGTGTGGATGTGCTCTCTCTCTCTTTGGGGGATCCGGCGCACCAGTACTTTTCAGACATTCACTTCATGAATGCGGCTAAGGTGGGGCTTTGGGAGTACTTTTGCGGCGCCTCGAAAGGATTGGTTCCGCAGTGTTTTTTAGACGTTCACTGCATGAATGCGGCTAATTTGAGGCTTTGGGAGCACTACCGCCCTCTCCTCACCCCCTCCTCTCCTCACCCCCTCCTCTCCTCACCCCCTCCTCTCCTCACCCCTCCGATGATTTCTACAGGCGGGTGTGTTTGTGGCTATGGCAGCAGGCAACTCGGGGCCTCCCTCTCCTAAGCGTGATCTGGGGACGCTCGAAAACGTTGCTCCGTGGTACTTGACAGTGGGAGCAACGTAAGTTGCGTGAAAACACTTGGTGAGAAGGTGTGCTGAGTGTGCTGAGAGTAATAATTTGTGTGCTGGTGCTGGGGACGCTCAGCAACGTAAGTTGAGAGAAAACACTTGGTGAGAAAGTGACACACAGTGGGGGCAATGTAAGTTGCGAGAGATTCTTTGTTGAACGGAAGAGGTGTGCTGATGATGAAGACGCTGAGAGTAATAATTTGTGTGCTGCTGGGGACGCTCAGCAACGTAATCTGAAGATTTGGTGAGAAGGTGACAGTGGGAGGTGAGAAGGTGACAGTGGGAGGTGCGAAGGTGACAGTGGGAGGTGAGAAGGTGACAGTGGGAGGTGAGAAGGTGACAGTGGGAGGTGAGA